TCTATTTGATCTATTAAACAATAAAAATCTTTAAAAAAAATAAATAAAAAAAAAACTTACTGACACCAGACCTTTGAATGGTTATGTACTTAGCAAATCAAAATGTAAAAATAAATAAAATTAGTTTTACATGCCATAAGTGAATTTAGGTATCACAGCATAATGTGCAGTATGAAAAATGGAGATTTGCTAAAGATTACATTTAACAGTGTAAATTATTATTTTTTTCTTTAACATAACAAGAAGGAATCTAAATGTAAAAACAGAGAAAATCAGCATAAAAAATCCTAATTATCAGCTAATAATCAATATAGTACTGATACATCATGCATCCTTAAGAGATCCAACATCTGAAAAGGGTGACCACCCTCTTTTAAAAAAAACATCTGTCAATCCAGAAAAAAAAAAATGTACAGGTTCTTCTGACAAACCTGAGCCAGGCTCAGTGTGAGAGAGCTCTTAGAGCAAAAAACAGAAGGGTTATCACTGCAGTAATGGTGTAGTCGGACTCCGAGCTCTCGAGTCATTTGTGTTGGGCCATCGCAGTGGGTCGCTGATGTTATCTCCACAGGCACTGACTACCACTCCAGCCGATGAAATGGGCTACGGCTGGCAGACACAATCAATTATTAATACGGCCGCAGTCTGAGCCTCATCAGAGAAACATCCACAACCGACTGTTTCACAGTCAAGCAGCCTGTCTGGACGGCAGCCTACACGCTTGAGAACACCGACCGCTTCCTTATATATCTGACTGTTATGTTGCAATAATGTGCAAAACAAATCTGTTCTGGCATCAAGACATTGTAGACATTTGAGCTAAAGTTAAAAAACGGTAATCACGCCTGTGATGAATTACAGTCATAACATTCTAAGTAGCTCCGGTCTTCCGGTCAGATTATATCCTGGAGCATAATGTTTACGGAATGGGAGAGCAATAAGCGCCATTCTGTTATTTCTAGTTGCTTCTTGCGTTCGATGCCAGTCCCTGATTGTGCAAACACTAAGAGCTGGCTGCAACCCAAAGCAAGAGTTTCACATTCCTACATAAACTCGTGAATTGAGAGAGGCAGCACAGAGAGCGCTCAACCCTCTTCAAATTACAAACACTGATACAAAATCCCTGTAGAGCGTGGAGAGCAAGCACTTGATTTGCCAGTGATCTTCCTGAGCTCTGATCATTTTGTTAGTTTAGCCTAACAAAAAGCGGCAAACTCACAACCACCCTGATCTTTTAGATAGCAATCGAAACCACAGAACTGAGCCATATATGATCTTCAGCATCTATCTGATCAAATATACAGTAAAATCATAATATTCTGAAATATTATTACAATTGAAAATAACAGTTTTCAATTGAATGCATTTTAAAATGACATTTATTCCTGTGATGGCAAAGCTGTATTTTTATTAGCTATTACCCTAGTCTTCACTGTCACAGATCCTTCAGAAAGCTGTTATCATCAATATTGAAAACAAATATGCAGCATAATATTTTGTGGATACTTTTTCAGGATTCTTTGATTAAAGTTCAGCATTTATAATGGTAATGATAACCGATAATGATCAGGATAACCAGTAATTTATTTTATTTGAAAGCCAATAACCGATATGTTGGCCAATAAATCTAAATCCCAATTTTTACATAATTTTTAAGAGCATGATATTAGAGACTAGCCATGTACCAAACAATCAAACATATACATTACAGCAACCTAGTTTGAACCAGTGTACATTTTAAAATAAATTTTACACTCCTATTACCAACTTTCTTTATCAAAAAAGGTCTCACAAATAAATAAAATAATGCTTAAATAGTGCAAGTAATTGAACAACATTACTTACGTGTAAAGAATCCATGGATAAAACAGAATAGCATCCACACACGGACAATAATACAATTATTTTAATTAAACCATATTTTTGATAAAATAATAAGATAAAAAGCGGTGGTTATTATTAATAATGCATCAATGATTTTGATTCCTCTGAAGGAAATAATGCATTATTTATTGGCTTTAATATATCGGCCAAATGTTCTTATTGGGTCGATAACGGTTATAGTAAAAATTAGCATTTATCGGCCGATACCGATATGGTGGCCGATATATTGTACATTCCTAAACCTTGGTGAATAAAAGTACTAATTTCTTTAACAATAAAAATCTTACTGACCCAAAACTTTTGAACTGCAATGTATAATAAAAGGCTACTAATAATAAGCAGACAACTGCATTGAAACTATTAGAATTTTAAATTACTGTGATATATATATTATCATATAGTTTTCTATGTCACTACAATCATGATGACATACAGTGGCGGACTGGCCATCAGGAGCACCGGGAGTTTTCCCGGTGGGCCGCTGTACAATGTGGGCCGGCCCTTTGCGTAAATATATATATAAAATGAATTGTAGTAAATGTACGTATATCCTCCAGCTCAGTGCAGCGACTCAAAAGCGCTCGTCAATGTCAAAATGTTTGAAATACCCAAAGTGTAGAAGCAGGATTTACTGTTCACAGACGCTGAGTGAGCTGCGCGCGACTTGAATGAGAGCTGAGGTAAGATGAAAGCAGCTAAACGTAGTGAGTCAATTCAGCAATATTTGCCTACAGTTTACAAAAAAAAATGTTAAACGACAGACATTAATTTTCAGGAATACAAATTACTACTGGCCTTTTCAAATTTCTCAGATTTTAATTCCATTTATGTTATTCGTCACAATGTACATATTAGCAGACATGAGATAAGAGTTAATGTAGATATATCTCTATAAAGGCTTTCTTCCGTGATTTCACGTGTCTAAGAAAATGTTTAAAAATCTATAAAAATCATTCTCAATCTTATTCTAGAACATTGTAAATCTGAAGACTTTTGCTTTCGAGTGCTGTGCATAGGAAAGTGATTTATATTACAGGCCTAATAAAAATATAATTTGCTTATTAATTCACATGCATTATTTTATATACACACTGGTGGTTAAAAGTATGAAATAATTAAGGCTTTTTATTTATTTATTTATTTGAAAGAATAATATGAAACAATAATATTATGAAGTATTACACTTAAAATAGTGGTTTTCTATTTAGGCTATTTTAAAATGTAATTTATTTATGTGATCAAAGCTGACTTTTCAGCATCATTACACCAGTCTTCAGTGTCCCTTCAGAAATCATTTTAATGCTGCTTAATTTGCTGCTTAATCATTATCAGTTAAAGAACAGCATTTATTTTAAATTGAAGTACTTCGTAATATGTGTAAATATCTTTACTGTCACTTAAATCAATTTAATGCAACCTTGTTGAAGAAAAATATTAATTTATATTTTTAATCTTACCCAAGACTGAATGGTATCACATTTTCCACAAAAATATGAAGCAGCACAACAGTTTTAGACATTCAAAATAATCAGAAATGTTTCTTGAGCAGCATTTCTGATTTCTGAAGGATCATGTGACACTGAAGACTGGGGTAATGATGCTGAAAATTCAGCTTTGATCACAGCAATAAATTATATGTTACTATATATTCGCATAGAAAACAGCTATTTTAAATGGTAACATTATATATTTCACAGTACTGTTTACTGTATTTTTCATCATCAAAATAATTTGTATACTCTTTCCACAATTGGAGCTCTATTCCTCCTGCAAATGTACAAATACTGTATATCACCAATAGAAAGGCACCAAAAAACAGTCCGCATTCTGCACTATTCAAGTCTTCTAGACCAGTGTTTCCCAACCGGGGTGCCGTCTGTCGAGAGCAGGGGTGCCATGTAAAAAATCCTTTTTTAATATTTTTAAATTGCTAAAATGTTCAAAAAAGCATCTATTATATAATATCCATTTCTGATGTCGCCAATAATTAGAGATGCACCGAAATTTTGGCTACCGAAAATTAGTTCACCGCTCAGGTTTCACTTTCACGTGGTGTGACGCTCTACGTATTATCCCGCTCTATGCGTGTGCGCTCCGCGCAGTCGCTCCACTCATATACCGTTCATGCTCATCGGAACAGCAAAGTCCACTCAAAAATTGAGCCGACAGGAAACATCGATGTAGTACAGTATTGTTTCTGTCTACAATAGCCCTACTGTGTTGTAACATGTGCTTATTTTATTACTGACTGGTTACTTGTCATTTTTTATTCAATTCAAAGTTTGAAATCAAGCTATCTCGTGCTACTGCACCAAAATTACCCCACTGTAAAATTAAAAAAACATTTAGTGAGCAAAAATTTGTGAGATAGCTAGTTATAACGGTAATTAAACAATGTTTACATATGTATAAAAAGCCTACATTAAAATCTGTCATATAAATTAGTCTCTTCATTAGAAATTAGCCTACTGATTGCCACCACTGATGGACAAATTTTTTTAATAATATTACGTCCCTCGTAAAAATTCTTAAAAATGATTTACTATTTGCCATATACACCAGGAAAGACAAATTATAATGTAAAGAATGCCAGTCATTTATGGTGTGGTGCAGTGTGTTGCGGACCAGGTTTGGTGAGCCGCTCTGTGCCAAAAAGTCCAGGGCCACTTTTTGGCCCCATTCCGCCCCTGGTGGCATAAAAGGTGGTAAATTGTTTTTTTTAAACTGGTTCATTTAAAATGAATGAGCTGTCGAAACAACCATTTTATTAAAATTAATTGAAATTCTTTATGCTTCATAAGACAAAAGGACAGTAGACATTTAGGCAAGTATGTTTAATTGTTTACTCTGTTTGTTTGGCTGCAAAGCTACAAGCAAAATATGATGTGACAAAAAATAGCAATGCAGCATTTTGTTACCGCTTGGAAAATGTAACTTGTTTCTAGAAAAGCTACTATGTTTATAGCACTGAAAAATTTAATTAGAAGCATGACTACTTTTGGCAAACATGAATCATACCCATACACACATAGACAACATTCCAAAACAGATTTCACACTGGACACATTCACAGAGCGATTTGCGTCAACACTCTCAAAGAGCTTGCTTGATCTTACCAGAAGTAGGACTTCACATGTTCCTGAATTAACACCCACGTCTCACCAAAGTCATCTGATTTCCACAGCTGCCAAAAGAAAATTAAAAAAAGAAAACAGAACGAAGGATAAATCCTTAAGTGCCAGCAGTTTCCACTTTCCAGTATAACATTTAATATGATTCAACATTTATCATAAACCAGCTTCTCATACGAAAATTACAGCTGATTAGCTCAAATCAAAACATGCTGCTTAGTGCTAAATTCAAAAGGGCAAATCTCTACAAACAACTAAAGGCCTAAAATGACAGTGCCATTCATCTTACTAAAACTGGACACATGATATACAAAAAGCCCAGTACTGATGGAAGGAATTAGTGTTCATACCTGTTTATTGGGGTGAGAACTGTCATAACCGAGGACCAGGTTAGGCCTCTTACTGTGCAGCAGTAAGTCTGTGGGCTTGAATGGGATGGAGAAACCTTGAACAATTTGGCAGAAGTCAAAGGTGTTCCACAGGTAACTGTTCGTGGCGTCAGTAAATAGATACTGCAAAGGAAAAATTGAGAAATTAAGACATTTTTTTAAAAATTCAGCAAAAATTTACAAAAATGATAGTTCAGCCATAAATAAAATGTCATCATTTACTAATCTCAAATTACAAATCCTATATTATATAAAATCATAAAAAGACATGCAAAGCGGTGCCAAGTATCTATTTTCCATACAGTGAAACTGGGTTCATAATCCCCAGCTCCAAAAAGCACCAGAAAAGTAGTCCATATGACTCATACATGTATAATGTACAAGATTTATAATGTAAAATGACCTGATTATGGGTCTGTTTGTCTTAAAGACTTGGAGCTTTTATGATGCTTTTAATTGCCATTATAAATAACCATCCACTTTCTTTGTTCGAAAAAAGAGCAGCATCGACATTCTGTTAAATATCTTCTTTTGTTGTCCACAGAAAAAAACCAAACAAGTCCTACGGGTTTGGAACTTGAGGGTAAATAAATATATGATGACAGAATGTCGTTTTGGGGTAAACTAACCATTTAACCTCTGTAGTGGTTGAAGACACAACAGAAGCTCTCAAAGTTACTATATTAGAGGTGTTTATTTCAAGCGGTTGGCTCCATGAAAACATCAAAGCCTTTAAGTATAGTAAAAAAACATATTTTTAACATTATTAATTATTCCGATTATGCATTTCTGCCGTTCTAATCTGCCCCCCTTCTCTTTGATCTTTCGTTTAAGAGCTTTTGCTATAAACTTTGTCCTCTCCATGGCCTGGTTATGGAAGCAGGGCACTTCCCTTTCCAGATTCTGAGGCAATGAGGACTGGGTCTGAAACAGAAATGCTTGACTTAAAAAGAAACCTAATGCTGTACGGAAAAATTTATGAAAAAGAACAAAAAGAGGAAGTGGAGCATATGCATTTGCAGCATAACCTATGATCACCATCAGACCATCATTGACTCATAGAACTATATTTTTATGTTTGCCTTTGTAAACCTTATCATCGCAATGTGGTTCAGTGTTCTCAATGGTTGTTATGCGGTTGCTAAGGTGTTCTGAGTGGTTTCTTAGCAGCCCAAGTCAAAACAGCTTAGAGAAGTAGCAGCACAACTCTTCACAACAAGCCACACGATTTCATCACTTCATAGTGAAGAATAATGAGATCATCATTAAAAAATATGATTAATTCTAAATATAAATATTAAATAAAATATAAAATATTAATATTAATTATTATTATGCGTTATAATTATTATTATCAACTAAAATAGTAATAATAAAAAGTATAGATAAAGTATCGATAAATAGTAATACTGTTGATTTACTGAAGTTAATTAACATGAATATATTATATTCTAAATACATACTATAATAACTGAGGTCTATATAATAATTTTATGAATAATAATAGCCAATAGTAACGCCTTACAAAATCCATTCACACTAGCAAGTCAAAGCCACTATAAAGAGATCAATCAAACAAACAGGCCCAGTAAGCCTCAGAATCAATTATGAGTGCATATCAGCTCATTCTTCACACGGTTATTCATTTGAGATTTTATGTCAGGATTATTAATTTATCACAAATGCATTAAAATACTCCACAACAATCCACACAAGCACCCTGCCAATATCTCTGTTAATTATCCCATCTGTAACAATCAAGATTTAGAGTTCTTCTCGCCATGCGGATCAGCGGCGCAAGTTACTCTGATCCCGTCAAATGTAATTAAAGAGCCCTGTGCTCCTACCAAGAGGTTGTATGCTTTACAAATTACACTCGTAATGCTTTAGCGTCAGTCCTTCACCAGCATCAGGCGGCAGCTGCAGTGCCAGCCACATCATTGACACCAGATGAATGGTCACCGTCTGCTGACGTCAGCCCCAGCAATAACGCAATGCAGAGTCCCGCAGTGGTTCTGCCACATCTGCAGCTCCCCACTCCAACTCCCATGAGCCTCTGCACCTCACACAGACTCACTGGAGCAGCCCGTTACGGTGGGTGCCAAGGGCAGAGACTATGCATGTAGCTTGTGTTTTCGCCCAGCCCTTTGAGCTGCTCTCTTGGAAAACACCATCTGTGGGTGTATAAGCGATTGGAGTGGTGGAAGGTCACAGCTGCAGATGGCCGGGAAGCGGTCGGTGTCACCGCGGTCTTGTTTGACCTCGGCTTAAGCTCACAAAGACAAGACAATTCAAGGATGTCACACAGATAGTTCAGCTAATGTCTCACACACTTACTCGTTTGTTGTCGGCGGGGCTGTGGTAAAACTGCGAGATGACTTGTTTCTTGCCCTCTTGGTCCCCTGACAGTTGAAATTTCTCTGATACTTGAGTGAAGGTGGTTCCATAGTCATAAGACACGTACACCTGTTAAATAAACAAAACCATGTCAAATTTCAACCTGATACACTGCTGAAATTGAGGCTCTGTTCCAAAACCTAGTAAGCTGCCTTGTTGTTTTCTGTCTACACAGGCAGTTGCCTTCTAAGTCAACATCTTAATTGAAATGAAACCTTTCTTAATAGTGAGCAACTCCTTATGTTTCAAAAACAAAATTTTTTAAGTGAACTACACGTAAGACTTTGCTCACAATTGATTCCAGCTTGATGTTAGCATGTTGCTAAGCTAAAAGCATAATAATCTAATAAGCAACGCTAAAAAATAATGCTCCTTATGTGAGACTCTTCTTATAATTATATCCAACAGATTTTGAAGTCAGCATATTGCTAAGCTAACAGCTTGATAATCGAATGCGCAACTTTATGTCTCAAAAATAACGCTTGTTATGTAAAGCTCGCTGAGACTCTGCTTTACAATGGATTTCAAGAGTTTGACGTTAGCATGTTGCTAAACTAAAATCATGATAAACTAATAAGCAACTATTTATGTCTTAAAAATAACACTCCTTACTAGGGTTGGGTATCGATTGGGTTTTTTACGATACCGGAGCCAAATCGATACTTTTAAAACAGTACCGGTGCCTGAACCGATACTTTAAAAAAAGAGCCGAAAAAAAACCAAAAAAACGATGCATAACATTAAAGAACATTAAAAATATTCAAAATAAATAGCATTCACATGCTCCTCAGGTGCTCTCATTTCCCGAGTTGTGCTTCCCTTACTCTAAGGCTAATAAATGTATTTCACGATCTGGGTCATTATTTAATAAAAAACAATATTTAATACAAAACCACACATAATGTTTCTACTGTATCTCTGTCAATCACTCTGATATTAAGTTAAAAGGAGTGAATTGACTGAGTGCTGTCTGTCACTGTCTTTAATCAGTTCTGTGAATGACTATGGTATGCCACATGCACTGTCATATGTTTTATATTAAATATTAAATTTTCAAATGAAAATAGCAACATGATCGTTTTATTAAGTATGCGTTCATATGTGTTAAGGGCTAGACTTTCGCTGGAGGAAACAGCTGTGGTGTGATGAGGGGTGAACGCAGCGAAAACTTTACAGTAGATGGGAAACCGATTGCTCCCTCGTGACCTTTTGTAAACTGTATTTATGACAAAGAACTGCGCAGATGCAGATATCATAAGTTAACAATCTATCGATAAACACACACCTTGTGTCCTCTGTTTCTGTTTGAGTCCGCTCGAGCTGCGCCGCCGCGGTCTGCGGATTGAAGAGCGCGCTGAAAGACGGGGAGGAGACAAAGTCTGCCGCCATTTTCATATGAAATTTAAAGGGGACTGACTCTGAGGCGATCACGAATTTGTGTACAGTTTATGGAGCTAATCGCTCGCTATTGCCCCGCTAAAAATGGCCTAGCGACGCCCATGCTTCTCTTACGTCCATTTCGGAGAACAAGGACAAATATTTCAATCGATCGTTCAGGCATTTAAGTGGCACCGAAATGAGGCACCGAAATCTGCGTTCTGATTCGGTTCTAGTACATACCGGTTACATATAGGCACGGGTTTCGGTACCCAAACCTACTCCTTACAGGAAGAGCATGAGACTCTTCTTACAACTGAATCCAATAGATTTGATAGAGCTTGTAATAAGCTGGTAGCTTAGCAATAATGTAATAAGCAGCTCTTTATGTCTATACCTTATGTGAAGTAGGGGTGGGTGATATGACCAAAATCTTATATCACGATAATGATACATATCATGATATAGTTATTTTTGCTTTAAATAAGTTCATGATATCAAAATTTTTGATACCATAGAAATGTCGTAATTCTTGTCACCAGTGTCACGATCACAAAAAACAAATACTAGCCTAAATTTAAAAAAAAAAAAAAACTCATGCTCACTGAAGACAAACAGTCAGCGATTAAATAATAAGAAACTAATTACAAGCAATAGGGCAAAAAAAGCTACAGTAGAACAAATAAATAAGAAATGCTACATACATTGTATAAAGTAATCAAATAAATAAAAACACTGAATATTCTTTCTCAGTTTAAATTAAATAAATATATCTTCTTATTAAAGTTACAAAAGTGATTTAGTCAAGAGCAGTGAGAGATTTTCTATCTTTTGTTGTTTGATTAACATGAATGACAGATAGCAGGAATATTAGACTGCTGTCAAATTGTTGAATAAAGTCATTTTTTTCTTTTTTTTTGTGCACAAAAAGTACTCTCGTAGCTTCTTAAGGGTGAGTAATTAATGACAGAATTTTCATTTTTGGGTGAACTAACCCTTTAAGAGCTGCCCGGATCCAATATACTGTTACAAGTGTTTTCTTTCTCAGCGGTTTGCTTTCACTTAAGACCTAAATGACTGTGTTTACGAGGATACTTGCAAAGATGGGCATTTTGACACATACAAGTGTGTGTATTTAACCATTCAAGGCCTATAAAACTGCAAAAATAACTCTGTTCAATACTCCCGCACTCTATGTGCACCGTCTTCATGTGCGCACACCTCTCTGAAAGCACTCAGAAACAGTTTCTCAGACAGCGCGTGCAAATGAGTTCTCTTTCGCTGTTGATTGCATTTCAATGGCTTAAAATCACTTGTTTTTAAACCGCAATGCTTAAAAATGTGTACAAATTATATGTTTTCGTGACCATGTAGCACAGCAACTTCACATGAGCGTGTAACCGTGATAGAGTCGATAGTCCAAAATTTCTACCGGTAAATTGTGTCTACCGGTATATCGGTCACCCCTCATGTGAAGCACATTAAGGTCCAATCCCAATTCTATTTTATACCCCTTCCCCTACCCCTCCGCCTACAGATATCGCGCAGCTCACATATCCAGGAGCAAAGAAACTTGTCAACGCTGCCCCACGACTTTTATTAATAAAAGTTGCATACACGCAACTTTCATCTCTCTCTCTGTCTCTCTCTCTCGAATTGGCAATATTTGAGGAAAGGGTTTAGTGATTTATAATTATTGGGGGTACTAGCCCTCCTCAATGTCTATGGTGGTTATCGCCCTGATCAGACATGAAAATATGTTGTGGCACTATCGTGCAGTCTATAATGATATGACGTTAGCAAACTTTAGCGA